CACTTATCTTTGGACACACTCTTTTTCAGACCATACCATGTCCTGGCCTGGGGGGTTCCTCTGCTGATGTCCTGCCTGCCTCTCTTCACTGGGTACTACGGACCAGCTGGACCATGGTGGTGAGTGGCACATCCTGGGGGGGGAGGGGAAGGCCATACAGGTTGCAGTGGAGGGGGGGTCCAGGAAAGGACTCTCCAACGCACCGATGAAGGACCTGCTTTGAAGAGGGAGCGAACAAGGGCCCCTAACGGAGCGCGACCTGGTCATGTGTGCCCCCCCAGGGCAGGAAACACCTGTGGAAGTGGCTCCACTGGGAGGCCCCTCCCATACCTGCCGCATCTGGGGGGGGGACTCTGAGCCAGGCCGCAGAAAGGCGCTTCTGTTCCCCCCACTCGCAGGACAGTCCAGCTGGGAAGAAACACTTTTAAATAAAAAGCTTCACCGGCACCCAAGATGTGCCCCCCTCCCCCCAGCCCTTGGGGGGGCGGCCTTCCTGAGATGGTTTCGCTCAGCATAATGAGGGTGTTCCTTCAGTGCGCCTGGGAGACCCAGTTTTTCCACGACGTTCCCATCCAGTCTTACTAGTCTTTCCGGGTCATTCTGGTTCCATCTGGTTCTTTCCAGGTCTTTCCGGCGCTTTCAGCGCCGTTGCCACTGTTAGCTTAGTGACGCAGCCCGCCCCCACCCCCCCCAGTGGAGCTCTCCTCTTAATGGTCAAACTCAAGTCGCCTAAAAATAGGCTTCCGTGTCCCAGATATGGGGGGTGGGGGGGCGGATTAGAGACATCCTGTGAGACTTAAACCGCCGGCTCCTGTCGAGCGTGAAGATGGGCGGCGTTCGATCGGGATTACTGGCGGCCGTGCGCTCGTGCTGGCCCGTGGGAGCGTGGGGGGGGCTGCAGCGGACGCTTGTCCCTGCAGGCTGTTCCACCGCTGGGGGGGGGGAGCAGGGTGGCGCCGTGGCCGTGAACTGAACCCTGCACGGGGCCTCCTGCTGCCTGACCTCCACGCGACCTCTGATGTACTTGAGCCAGGAAACCTTGGATGCAGGCAGTGTATGAGGTGGGGGCACAGAAGTTAGCAGGGGTGGGGTGTGCGCACACGTGTCTGGGTGTGTGTGTGTGTGTGTGTCTGTGTGTGTGTGTGCGCGCGAGTGCAGCCGGCAGGGAGGGTGGGGGTTGTTGCCATGGTGACCGGGAACTCGGCGCTCCACTGTGCCGTGCTGCATCGATGTGGGAGGAATCAGCCTGAACGATATTGCATATTTCTGCTCTTTGTGTGGCTCCACAGCTCAAGGAAAGGCTCCGTGAGCGCAGAGCAAATTTATGGTCTGTCTGTGAGGACAGGACAGGGCCCCCCAGCTCCCCGTCCCCCCCGGGGGTATTACGCTCTCTGCACAATGCTCGGGTTACTGCTGGCGTTTAATCGCCCGTGGCTTCGGGGGTCGTCCGCAGCCGCCTTCTCCCAGAATCAGCATGTGGGCCAAAATAACAGGCTCCGGAAGGAGAGGCCGTCTGGGTCGAGCCCGCCACCTGAAACCCCACACCCCCCAAACAGAATTGCCGTGTCGCCCCAGCAACGTCTCTGTCTGACACGGATTTGCACGGGGGAGACAGACCACGCCGTGGATTCGCTTGTGTGTTGGGAGCCTGTGAGCTATGCTGGTAACTTGGCAAGTTGTGACTTTGCCAGGGGGCGAGAACCTCCAAACTCCCCCCCCCGCCCTTCCCCCCCGCCCTTCCCCCCGCCCTTCCTGGGGATTTAGGCTCTTAATGCAGAATAAAGGGCTGGGAAACAGGCTGAGGATAAATGTGGCAGGAGGGGAGCTGGCCACACGCCAGGCGCACGGCCCTCTGGGTAAAGCCCCTTGTCTGCAACCCTCCCCCCGCCCCCCAGGCAAATCACGCCCCCGCCGCTCCTCATGGGAGCCTCACGTGACACTTATATGTCTGTCCTGGGGGAGTGTAGTAAAGGTCATGATTATGTGATTATAATGGGATAGCAACCACTTGAATGTCACGTGATCTAACCACACCCCTCTCTGTGTTGGCCACACCCCTCCCCATCCTGACCACACCCCACATCCTGACCATGCCCCTCCCTGTCCCGATCGTGCCCCTTTCCAGCCTGACCTCGCTGGTCGTAAACACAGGCTAATCGTTTCCAGGCTGGGTGAACCGGGAAATGTTGCGGTCACGGCGCAGTGAGCTCGAGTTGGGGGGGGGGAGGGTTACGCTTTTTTCACAGGACTGCCTAACCAGAGACACTTCTGTCCTCCAGCTTAATCCGGATGTGGCTCGTAGCCCCCCCCCCCACGCACGCGCTCACACACACATTGTGGGGTTTCGCTTCCAGGACACAAAACTGCCGTTGATCCCATTTCTCCCAGAGTGGGGCCACAGGCTGGGGGGGGGCACCAGGAAGCCTGCCCGCCAGTGCACGTGTCATTAATCACTGTCCCACAGCATTTTCCTAATTATTGCGTGACGCCTGGGGTGGAGCAGCACGCTCTGCCTGTCCTAACACCCTGCAGGTGTTCGCAGGTCGGGGGGGTGGGCGGATTTGTGACTGTCATGGGGGGTGGAGGACTTGTGTAATTTCACCGGACCCCCCCCCCCCCGCCCCTTTTGGCTCTGTGTATTAATAGCTTCAGCTGTGTCCCAGTTCCACGCATAGTAACAGAATTTTCTGTCTCCCTCCCTCCTTCCCTCCTTTCCTCCCTCCCTCCAGCTGGATCACAGACAATCACGTAGCCTGGAGATTTGGGATGTAAGTACACTTCAGCTGTGGGATCAAAGTGTGCGGCAGGGTGGGATCAGGTGGAGTGGGGCGGAGGGGCGGAGCCTGTCGCCGCGAGCTGCTGAGGGGGGAGGTGCGCTCGTGCCCGGCGGGGATTAGCCGGCGCCGCACGGCCAGCGGTGGTACGGCCATGGGGAGCAGCAGACGGCGCACGGTCACAGCCAGCGGCATTAACGGTCCGGTGAAGAGGAAGTGCAGCTCAGTGCAGTGTGGCCTCGTTCCAGCATGCCGATGACAGGCCCCGTTTGATGTTTGCTCTGCGCTCTCATCCGCGGCACATCTGAGCTACCCCCCCCCCCCCCCCCCCCGGTGCCATTAAAGGCGTTCAGCGAGAGCCGCGCCTCCGCTTCCCCCCCTTTGATCTGGTTAAATACGATCGCGGCGCCGGCTCGGCACGGGCGAGCGCAATCGGCGAGAGAGGCGGCAAGAAAATGAAATGTTTGTCAAAGTCGTGTTATTTTCCCGCAGCGGCGGGGAGCATGCCGACGAGCGCGGCCTGTCATTCGTCACGTCTCGCTCTCTCGCCGGAAAATGAAGTGCGGGGGGGGGACAGCGGGGGCGGGCTGTCTGCGCCGTGTTCCGCTGCCCCCAGGGCCCCCCCCCTCCTTCTGCCCCCCCCCCCCAGTCCCTCCATCCCTCTCTCATAAGTTTGAGGCTGGCTGGTGACTT